ATGACAAACAGAAAAGTACTACAGTACAAAAAAGAATCTGTAATACGTTTGAACTGTGTGTTTAATCTCTCCTACCACCAGCATGAAGACGAAATCCTGCAAATGCAGAAGAAGCTGAAGGGGACGGAGGACGAGCTGGATAAATACTCTGAGGCTCTGAAGGATGCCCAGGAGAAGCTAGAGGTTGCCGACAAAAAGGCTGCCGATGTGAGTAAAACAATTCCATAATAATGCACCCCAGCTAGGTGACCAGGTGCCAACCAGACACATGTGGGACAAAGAGTGTATTTGTGTTGGATAATGTGGGAGATTTTACTGCAATGATAAGACCTAGTTTATATTTCAATATAATCTCTATCCAAACCTTAAAGATATACATTTCTATTGAAACCATAGCTTCCGAAGGAGTTTATATTTAGATCGGTATTTTACTTTATAAGCCAGGCATTTCTTGTGAGTTTCGTATGTAGTGTTGCTTAAAGTCCTATTCCCTTCCATGCACGACTGAAAAAAGCGGTGTTAGAGTGGAGGTACAGTAGTCGGTTGTTCACCTCGTCTGTTTCTGTGACGCACGGTAAACCTTTAAATATAACAGAAACCTTCTCACAGCCCCGGAGCCCTGAACTGAGCCCACGATAAAAGCTGTGATGCTGCCAGTGTAAACCTGGCCGGGCTGATTCACTGCTTCGCTGTTGCATTCCATTCCCATCATGCTCGGCGTGGACTCCTCACAGCTGTCGGGGGGGATTCAGAGCTCTATTTCGGCCGTGATGTCAGCCGGGCAACCTTGACTGCAGGCTTAACAATGGTCCAAGTCCATTTTAGGTATATCGTCCAGTCCTCCCGGGACACAGTATGTATTTAGTCTGTCTCCTTTTGTAGAGAGTGAATTATTACTTTCCAGAACTGCTCTACTTATAGAAATTAAAGTTCAGTTATATGTATCTGATGTTTTGTCGGATTACTACCACAAAATAAACATTTGGTACACTGCTTACAGCAATAAAAGCACAGACTTCTATGCTTATAACCAGTGGTGAGAAGTAACCAAGTACATCTACTAGTATTGTACAATTTTGAGCTAATTATACTTTACTTGAGTATTTCCATTTCATGCTACTTTATACTTCTATTCCACTACATTTAAAATGGAAATCATGTAATTTTACTAATAATTTATTTAACACTTTTAAGAAAATGCATCTCTTAAAATTAAACTAGTGGACTAACTCATTCTTAAAATAGTCTAATTATTAAAATGTTACAATCAGAGCAGTAAAATGCTTCTTGATGCACTCATACTAACTAGAAATGTCACAAATATAATAAATAATTATATACACACATATAAGGCACAATCATTACTTTGTATACTTTAAGAACCTGCTGATAATACTTTATTATTCTCATGTAAGATTTTGAATGCAGGACTGTTACTTATAATTAAATTTGTACAACAGTGTATTGGTACTGTTACTCAAGTAAAGCCTCTGAATACTTTTTCAACCACTGGTTATAACTATAGTTTCTTGAAGCAGCACCTATGGTGATCTACAATCTGAGAATAAAGGAAATGAAAACATTGCAGTCTGAAATCTGCCGACACTGTTCAGTTTCAGAGTCTTTGCTCAACAATGTCTCTCAGTCTTTATATAGAAGCCCAGCAGCTGTCAGCTGCATTGTTCTGCCTCCAGAGAAGGACTGGTACAAATACCATGTCAGGGCGTGGCATTATGTCAAGATGGATGTCAAGGGGCTTTTCTTTTTTTTTTAAATCAAGCGCACATTAAAATATATCAAATCAAACTTTATTGATATAGCACTTTTCATACACAAAGGTAACTCTAAGTGCTTCAAAAACCAACACATAGATAATTTACAAAATACAATACTATCTCCCCCTTCCCAGGTATAACCAGAATAACACAAAGCTTTTGATTGAAGAAAACCAACGCAGAACGGAAAAAAACTGGTTTCAAATCCAAATAATAAAAGTAAATGGTAAGGAATAAAATATGAATACAATCAGAATAAAATAAGAATAAAATGCAACCCAGTCAAGAGCCAATATGTTAATATGTTATCATTGGGATTTATTTAAAAAATAACATACATTAAGAGATTTCAAATCTTTAGTATTGACCTTGTTCCATTTAGCTGCGCTGCCCCCACCACTCTCAATGTCATTGCCATGGTAATGTTAATGTCAGGCAGTTACGTTTAACAAGTCAACTCCCCTATGAGGAGAATGCAAAAGCTTCCACACATACTTACGACCTTGGTGTCATGACTTTCTGATCTGCAGTCTAAAATTACAGGGTCATATTCAGCTTCTTAAAACCAGATATGCAGATCCTCGGCAAGCAACACATTTCCATAAGCTACACTGTGTGAACAAATCATATTCTGCTTTACATTGGCTTCAGAATACATATACAAATGAATATGCATTGGCATTAGCAACAGTGGTTTTCTATGATCCGTCCTGACCGTGTCTGCTCAGGCTGAAGCAGAGGTGGCCTCCCTGAACAGACGCATCCAGCTGGTGGAGGAGGAGCTGGACCGAGCTCAGGAGAGGCTGGCCACCGCTCTGCAGAAGCTGGAGGAGGCGGAGAAGGCTGCAGACGAGAGCGAGAGGTGAAACATGCTGTGATTTAAGATACAAATATATCCAGCCCCTTCAGGAGTCACAGCAGCAACGGAAATAAGGGTTACACATAGGATAGAACATCGTTTAACAGTATGAACAGTGGTGTAAAGTTACTAAGTAGATTTACTAAAGTACTTAGCTTGAGTACAGTTTTGAGATACTTGTACTTTACTTGAGTAGTTACATTTGATGCTGGATGAATGATGTGAAATATAATCAAGTGTTAAATCAGACTTTAGTTCCACCTGGAGTAAATCCACCAGCTACCCTGCAGTTTTCAAAGTCATTCAAACTAGCTGCACCTTTACCAGCTTTGAGAACACTTTCATGATCAATCATTATAAAACAAATCATATCTATTATTCTGAAATGCACAATGACTACTTTTACTGTCGCTACTTTCACTATATTTTGATGAGAATACTTTTCTACTTTTACTTGAGGAACATTTTGAATGCAGGACTTTTACTTGTAACATAGAATTCCACACTCTGGTACTTCTACTTTACTCCAAGTACAATATCTGAGTACTTCTACTTTACTCAACACAAGATCTGAGTACTCTACTTTTTACCTCCAAGTACAAGATCTGAGTACTTCTACTTTTTACTCAAGTCAAGATCTGAGGTACTTTTACCTCAAGTACAACATCTGACTACTTCTTCCACCTCTGGAGTTTGAATAAACACAACAACAATAATATGGGACAATACAGAGTAGCTGAGCTTACACATAGTCAGATATGTATTAATATAATATTAATAATACATATCTGTACATGTCTATGTGCAAGTCTTCTTACACTAACTAAACTACGAGACCTGATTAAGAATCTCACCACAGTCTGTGGAAGACTGCTTTTAATGACCGTGCTGACGGATGGTCCTGCACATACGGTGCAGCTGGTCAGGTCATGTGGCAGGCATAGATTTGGTTTAGCAGGATCAATAATGTTACAGCAGACCTTCAACAAATGTAAATGAACTAATTCATCAATCTATCAAAGAATGTGTTCCATGTTGTTTGAATTTGACTAAATAAATAGTAGCAACTTGACACACCACCCGAGAACATGTTCCTCAACAGACTAAGACTAGCCTACAACTAAATCATGTGCTATATTAATACTTTCTCGCATAGCATTAAGCTTACCTAATTTTGATATGTCTGCTGATAGCATTCATATATCAATGAATGTTCTTCTGCTACATACGGAGCAATTCACTATGCCACCATTGTTTAAGAAAGTTTTTTCAATTTTGAAAAGTTTGTACGATGCAAGAAAAACTAATTATTTGGTGTGCAGCAGGCATGAAGGTGATTGAGGAACAGGGCCAAAGATGGAAGAGAAGATGGAGCCTTCAAGGAGGATCCAACTGAAGGAGGCCAAACACATCGNCTGCTTTGCTGCCTCAGGGCCTGGACAGATTGCCATCATCGACGGAAAAATGAATTCTCAAGTTTATCAAGACATTTTGCTGGAGAACTTAAGGCCATCTGTCCACCAATTGAAGCTCAACAGAAGATGGGTGATGCAACAGGACAACGACCCAAAGCACAGAAGTAAATCAACAACAGAATGGCTTCAACAGAAGAAAATAGGCCTTCTGGAGTGGCCCAGTCAGAGTCCTGACCTCAACCCAATTGAGATGCTGTGGCATGACCTCAAGAGAGCGATTCACACCAGACATCCCAAGAATATTGCTGAACTGAAACAGTTTTGTAAAGAGGAATGGTCCAAAATTCCTCCTGACCGTTGTGCAGGTCTGATATGCAACTATAGGAAACGTTTGGTTGAGGTTATTGCTGCCAAAGGAGGGTCAACCAGTTATTAAATCCAAGGGTTTACATACTTTTCCCCCAGTTTCCACTGTGAATGTTTACATGGTGTGTTCAATAAAAACATAAAAACATATAATTGTTTGTGTGGTTTTAGCTTAAGCAGACTGTGTTTGTCTATTGTTGTGACTTAGATGAAGATCAGAACACATTTTATGACCAATTTGTGCAGAAATCCAGTTCCAAAGGGTTCACATACTTTTTCTTGCAACTGTAGGTCCTAACACGTAATTTAAGGTAAAACATGTTCCTCACTCAAACACTGTTACTGTGGAAGTAAATTGACATAAACATTTTGCTATGTGAGATTGAATGTGAGTGTTAACTAAACAACACACATTTCTGGACGTCAGCAAACCGTTTTATAATCTGCTTCCAATCTATTTACAAATCACCACCCCAAACATTGCCTCAGTATATTAGTATTCTTATCACAAACATGTTATGGTACTTTTGCCAACAACTTTAGAGATATTTTGACCCAACATCGGCAACCCAGTGGAGGCAAAATGAATTCCAGCTGCTGAGTCCTTATTATACATCCATGTTCAAAGCAGTTCAAACCATACATCCACATCCATGGTTCAAGCAGGTACGCCCAGCGTCAGCGTGATGACGTCACAGTGGCGCCAACATGTGTTAAAGATCCATTGAACCGGAAACAAGCTGTTATACTTTCAAAATAAAACCCAACATGTTTAAACTCAACACGTGTGCTAGGAGGGAGCGAGGTACCTTATATTTCCCTAAAATGTGATGCACATAAATTGAACAATTTGAACACAGAATAAAAGACATACAAAAGTGGTTGTGGTAAGTACAATTGCGTATTGTGTCATATTAAAATGTGTAGTCTCCTGAAGGAAGTCTGTCTATTGTTTTGAAAGTCTTCACCGGAAACCCATCGCGTCATCATGTCAATCTCACCGGCCCAGGCCCCGTGCAGACTTCCACACTGCTGGCGGCGCGTGTGGAACACTTTTCTTTCTTCTTCCCGTCCGATTATCCCTCAAATTATTTTATTACGTGTTTTTTTTGTATTTTAGTTGCCCCATTCAAACCAGGTTCATTGAGTGGACTGACAAATTCCTTTTCGGCTTTCAAATCCGGTGCTTGTTGGTAGTTTTTTTTGAAAAAGGTTTATCTTCCATCTCCTGCGCGCGGCGTGTGTTTCACGTGGAGACTCAGCAATTCATCTATCACTTTTTCCGGTTTACAGTATTTAGCATCTGAGAAAGCAAAAATGGCAACATTGATTTTAGAGGACGGGACCACCTTCAAAGGCCTTCTTTTTGGTGCAAATGTGTCAGTGAATGGAGAAGTTGGTAGGTCATTTTTTTAATGTATAACTTCATATATAGCTACCTAAAGCTAGCTCCTTCAAAAATGCACGTACGTAGTAGCTAACTTTAGGTCATGTGGGTTTGTTTACTTTTGGACATTTAATACCTCAATGTGCCACGACTGTCTTGGATCAGAGTTGCGCCAAACCCCCCTCTCCCCATTTACCAGTGGTGTAAAGAGTAACTAAGTACATTTACTTAAGTACTGTGGTTAAGTACACTTTTGAGGGACTTTACTTGAGTTACAATGTTCTGCTACTTCTCTACAATTTAAGAGGTACAAAGTGTACTATTACTCCACTGCATGTGTTTATTACCTTTAGTTACTTTGCAGATGTGGATGAATGATGTGAAATATAATCTTAAATCAGACTTTAGTTCCACCTGGAGTAAATCCACCAGCTACCCTGCAGTTTTCAAAGTCATTCAAACTAGCTGCACCTTTACCAGCTTTGAGAACACTTTGATGGTCAATCATTATAAAACATATCATATTATTCTGAAATGGACCAATCTGCACAATGACTACTTTTACTGTCGCTGCTTTCACTATATTTTGATGAGAATACTTTTCTACTTTTACTTGATGAACATTTTGAATGCAGAACTTTTACTGTAACAGAGTATTCCTACACTCTGGTACTTCTACTTTTACTCAAGTACAATATCTGAGTACTTCTACTTTTACTCAAGCACAAGATCTGAGTACTTCTACTTTTACTCAGACTGCCAAGGCACACAGGGGGATAGGAACTTTCCAACTCCCACTGAGCGTCAATTTAAAATGTTGAGTAAAGCTTACAAATAGTCATTTCCCATATTCTTGTAAATATCAAATACAGGTATAAAGCTATTAATTCAGTTTAAACATCCTTACACTTGATCTGTTTATTCTACCACCTTTGTATCTTTTTTCACCCAAGACAAATCATTAGGTATGAAGGAATGGTGTTGGCCTATGTTGAATCAAATAATCTCAAACGTGGAGAAAGCTGGCCAAATAAAGATGAGGCAAAGTTGATCCCTATAATAGGATGCCTTTGCTCCTATTTGGCGTGTGCTTGTGTCATGAGCAAGGCAGCATTACATTTAAATGGCCCTGTTTGGCGGGAGAATCTCTAAACGCATCAGAATGGATGTTACTCTTCTGGTACTTTAGTAGAGTCCTTAAAAACCAAGGGTGGAGAAGTACATAAGTCAAGTAGCAATACAACATGTAAATAATACTCGTGCAAGTGCAAGTCATGCATTCAATGTCAGTCAAGTAAAAGTACAAAAAGTAGTGGCATTCTTAAAATATAACAAAAGTACAAAAGTGTAAAATTTTTGCATATGGGCCCATATCAAGATCTAACATTTTTGTAATTATAATTAGTATTATTAATGTTTGCACTTGGTAAAGTGGGGATTATTTGCTGAAATACTGCTGGTAGCCTTAACCTTCACAAAATACATCAAGGTTTGTTGGTTGAATTTGTATTCTGGTATTATAAATACATGCCCTGANATATCATATCTATTATTCTGAAATGGACCAATCTGCACAATGACTACTTTTACTGTCTCTACTTTCACTATACTTTGATGAGAATACTTTTCTACTTTTACTTGAGTAATATTTTGAATGCAGGACTTTTACTTGTAACATAGAATTCCTACACTCTGGTACTTCTACTTTTACTCAAGTACAATATCTGAGTACTTCTACTTTTACTCAAGCACAAGATCTGAGTACTTCTACTTTTACTCAAGTACAAGATCTGAGTACTTCTACTTTTACTCAAGTACAAGATCTGAGTACTTTTACTCAAGTACAACATCTGACTACTTCTTCCACCTCTGAGTTTGAATAAACACAACAACAATAATATGGGACAATACAGAGTAGCTGAGCTTACACATATTCAGATATGTATTATTAATATTAATAATACATATCTGTACATGTCTATGTGCAAGTCTTACTTACTACTAACTAAACTACGAGACTGATTAAGAATCCACCACAGTCTGTGAAGACTGCTTTTAATGACCTGCTGACGGATGGTCCTGCACATACGGTGCAGCTGGTCAGGTCATGTGGCAGGCATAGATTGGTTTAGCAAGGGATCATAATGTTACAGCAGACTTCAACCAAATGTAAATGAACTAATTCATCAATCTATCAAAGAATGTGTTCCATGTTGTTTTGAATTGACAAATAAATAGTAGAACTTGACACACACTGAGTAACATGTTCCTCAACAGACTAAGACTAGGCCTACAACTAAATCAGGTGCTAATATTAATACTTTCTCGCATAGCATTAAAGCTTACCTAATTTTGATAGTCTGCTGATAGCATTCATATATCAATGAATGTTCTTCTGCTACATAGGAAGCAATTCATATGCACATTGTTTAAGAAAGTTTTTTCAATTTTGAAAAGTTTGTACGATGCAAGAAATAACTAATGATTTGTGTGTGCAGAGGCATGAAGGTGATTGAGAACAGGGCCCAAAAGGATGAAGAGAAGATGGAGCTTCAGGAGATCCAACTGAAGGAGGCCAAACACATCGCAGAGGAGGCCGACCGCAAGTATGAGGAGGTGAGTGTTCTGGGGGTTAGGGTTAGGGTTACTGCACAAGGTGGGGGCTGAGACACTTCAATGGTGACGCTTCTTCAGGAACCCAAAAAGTCATCATCTGAAAGGACTTTGTTTTACAGTATCAGTCATCGCATTTGATTTATATAGCCCAATATTACCATTAACACATTTGGCTTCAGGGGTCTTTACAGACTACCCAGCTAGAAATGTTTGGTTCTAAAAACATTCTGAGAATGTTACAGTCATTGTTCTTGGAAGGTTTTCAGCGGGAAGTTTTTGTTTGGTTCCCAGAACGTTCTTCTGAAAGGTAGGATAACGTTCGCTAAAAACATTCTTAAAATGTTTGGTGATAACATTGTTAGAACATTATGCCCTCCTATTCTTAAAACGTTTTCAGCAGGAAGTTTTTGTTTGGTTCCCAGAATGTTCTTCTGAAAAGGATAACGCTCTCTAAAAAAATTCTTAAAATGTTTGGTGATAACCTTCTTAAAATGTTTTTGAAAACATTGTTAGAACATTATGCCCTACTATTCTTAAAACGTTTTCGCCAGAAGCTTTTATTTTGGTCCCCAGAATGTTCTTCTGAAAGGTAGGATAACGTTCTCTAAAAACATTCTTAAAATGTTTTTGATAACATTGTTAGAACATTATGCCCTACTGTTCTCAAAACATTTCCAGCTGCAAATTAGATTTTTTATGTTGCCAGAATGTTATTATTTTAGAGAAGGATAACATGGTTTATGTTAAAGAAATTATGCAAATGTTCTATGGTAACAATTTACTAAAATATGTTTCCATTATTAGAACATAAAGACATAATATTTCTGTAATTGTTCAACTCAAAATTCCTGGGTAAGTGGACTGACCACTGTGGTCATTAGGATGATTATGATAGTTTACTTAACTATTGGAATTTGACTATTAACACATGTAAAAGGATGACACGGAATCAGCTGGTGAAAGTAACATTTGTTTATTAGAAAAGGGGAGCTGGGAGTGGAGGTTGGTTATGGCGGCAGTGGGAAACAGTTGTTCCAGGGTGGGTAGAGAGACCTGGCTGGTCTCGGGAGTGTGGAAGGCCTTGGATTCCTCCTGGGAGAGACACAAAAATCAGTGTGAGGCAAAAGCAGGCAAAGTTGTCAAAGAATATGCTGGTAAAAAGCTAGAGCGGCACGCAACAAACCGTTCACGGCAACAATCCGGAGGGAATGAGTGCAGGCTGCAGGCTTTCATAGTGTGGCTGACGAGCAGGTTGCAGGTGTGGTTGATTGGAGATTGCTCCCAGCCGTGTAGAGCATACCAGCAGGCAGAGAGAGACACACACAGTAGAAAGAAACACATACAAACACTAACAGGGGTTGCAGGGACGGGCAGTGACAGTCGTCCGTTCTTCTATATGTCTGTCTTTGGTTTTCTAAGTGTTATTCGATCCATATGACAATAGAGATACGTATGTGCATTAAACAACAAAAACACTTGTGGTATAATGTTCGAACAATGTTATCACCAAACATTTCAAGAATGTTTTTAGAGAACGTTATCCTACCTTTCAGAAGTACATTCTAGGAACCAAAATAAACTTCTCGATGAAACC